GAAAAATGCGATTAAATTTTGTGCTACTTAAAATTTTGCTGATTTATTTTTAGATGTGATTACTAATTGTGATTATTATTTATTGATCATATATTTTATACGTATATTGTTTTAAAATACCAAAAGTGTGATATTAAAAAAAGTTGAATGTAAAATTGTAATTTCATGCAACTCAACCCTAACAGAAGTAGCAGTATCACTGATACATATTATTAGGAGTCCGCTCAATGACGTATTTTGGGGTTGTGTACTTAAATTATTCTATCCTTCGACAACATTCTTGTTATTTTACACGTTTTACACGTTAATGTTATTTATTATTACAATGATGACGATATACGTATACGTTCCCTTTCGTCATAATTTGACTATAACCATGTACAGTAATAATCATATATATCTAAGCCAACGTCGGAATTTAAACTCTCAATGTTGTACAAAAAATTCGCAGGCAAATTTGCCTGCGAGACGGTGTAAGGGATAACACATATCGAAGTATGTAACACAAATATTACATCATTTATTATTGACTGCTGTATTCAGGATCTGTGGTCTAGTACATTTCATTAATTTTAAAACCTATATAATAGACCCACGGGTCTCTTGTATAGGTTAATAATAATTCAAACGAAATCAGATTAAGAGATAGTATAAAATAGACAAGCCACCGAAAAATACAAATTTTGGGTGCATTTTTTTAGGGTTAGGATTAGTGTTTAAGTGTAGGTTTTATAATAACAAGTACCTATAAGTGGGGTTTTAGGGGACAAATAGAAATCCCTCATTTCATTTTAATCTGATTTCATTATAATCCGCGACAATAATTGAACTATTGATCATTAATACGGACTTATTCCTATTTGTATACTCGGTCTTTTACTTTATCCTATTCTAGAACCGGGTATAGTACATAGGGGGTCTAATATCTGACAATTTACCATATATAGTATTCTAACGACAAAATTTTGAAATACGTAACCGATAACCAATGGAATTAAATGGAAATTTTGGTACTTCTGTATGTATGCACTTGCGTGTTATTTCGGAATGCCCATGTGCGTTATTTTGAACCTGGATGATTGACGAGTACGTATTACCCGGTACAAAATGAATTAAATACGTAGTTAATATTCATGAATATAACTTATTTTAAGTATTTTGGTTAATAACGCCAACAATAAATAGTTAAGCGTTTACGAACTTAATATATAGCTTATTTTAAATACTTGGACTAAGAAATGTTGAGATCCTCTGCTAACATATGTATATGTAAACTTTAAACTGAAATAATTTTATTAACTATATATCGATATATATATATGTGTGTGTGTGTCAAAGAAATAAAAAAATCTATTCAAACCTATTTATAGCACAAAACGTAACAAATTTGACTTTTAATTCAATTGTTATTTCTGAGCTGTAATGTTTTTTTATAAAACATATATATAAACATATATATATAATATTGTATGTTTTTGCTATTCATTGTACAGTACGTATGCGTAAAATTTTTTATTTTTAATAATATTAGGGAGAATGGGAATTGTCTAGCTTCTAAGTTGATTATTCTTTAGTCAAGTTATTCCTGCTAACCTGAGATTTAAAAAAATAGAGTAAATGGTGTGGTGATTATTTTACGGTAAATTTTAATATAGTTCAATAGAAAACCCAAAAATTTTAACATCATAATAAATATCAAAAAAAGTTTTTTTCTTACTGTTAGTAAATTTTTTTAAATTTTAACTATTTACAAGACGATAAATTATTATATGGTATATATATAAATATATAATAATAACTAACGCTAATAATAATAAATAACGCTAATGTTAAATAATATCAGCATTTTATATATTTTTTTTTTTGAAAGCATATTTATCAACATAAATAAGAATTAAATCTAATACTAATTGATCATTTCAATATCATAGTTAATCTCTGCATCATTATTATAATTTTCCTCAATAATAGAATGATACCACCGTTTCTCATCTATATGTCGAGTATGATCATTTTGTCGAATATCTTTTGTTAATCTTGATTGTAATAAACTTAATAAATTTTTATAAGTCCAGAAATCTTCATGTGTCGGCTTATTTTCCACAACAATCTCTATCTTTTTATTCTCAATTCTTTCATCATCACTTAATATCTTATTATCACTTGTATCATCATTATTAATAGTTCTTTTTTCTTTTTTTCCTTTATTTTGATTTTCATCTGGATCTTGCATACACTTGCCAAATTTTTTTGAATCATAATATAGAACGTTTTGATAAGCTTCAAACATTCCAAAAGGTAAGAAACAAACTTCACCTCTTGATAATTTTGGCTTTACATTTATAGGAAGAGTTAGGTAAAATATTATTAATTTTGCAAATTTTTGTTTGCTCGGACTTGTTGTAATCTCTGTTAGAGGTATTATATCAGGATCTGATGATTCATTTAAATATATTATATTGGGATCTGATGATTGAGATATTATAGAATCAGAGGAAGTTGTCGGTATCAGTATATCAAAAATTTTAGGTACGAGTTTAGCATTAGAATATAGTTGCTCTTCACTAACAATATGAGTTAGCCTATGCAATGATTGCATTAATTCATATCTAAATCCTTCCAACATTTCATTTTGTTGAGTAGTTAAATTTAAAGAATCAACATCGTCTTTTAAATGGTCGATTGAATTTTGTCTAAAATTACTTTTGTTGGATTTAAGATGATTTCTAGAAGCTCGTTTTAAATCTAAATTTGAAATTGCACCAAGAAATGAGGTTCTAAGTTGTAAAATTAAATCGCTTAGATGAATTCCTTCCTTTGATTTTATATGATCCATTTCTATCTTTCCGAGAGTTTTAATTGTAGGTAATTTAGAAACCGGAATTTGATGTCGACAATTTTCCATTACTAATATTTCAAGACCATTCCCAATAGAATCTAGATCACGATCACCATAAGATTTTTCATTTCTTGTAACAAATAATCCAGCATAAACGCTATCAGCTTCTAAGAAAGGTTTTAATCCCGAATTCGAATATTGAAACATTTTTTCTAAATAATTCTGCATTTGTCTTACTGAAATACCAACTTTTTGAGCCATTATTGGAGCTATTAATCGAGGATTAGCGAATCTAAAGCCTAATTTTTGAAAATTTTCAATAATCCCTTTATCTCTATTTTTATTACGACATGCAAATTCAGTGTTGTTATTTGAATATTTGTCAAAAGGTTTAATTTGTTTTACAATGAACAATATTTGACCTTTGTATTGTTGAGATGTTAGTGTCTGTTGTTGAGAGTAATCACACAATGAAGAAAATGTAGACGAAGTTGACGTAGTATGTACATCGTTGTTGAGATTTATTTTCTCAAGAGCCAAATGTTTTTCAGTTGATGATGATTCATAACCGGTGAAAAGTATTTGATCGTATAATACACCAGATTCAGCCAAAGGAATGTTTAGAGAATCGGAAAGTTGTCGAGCATTTAACATAAAGGATTCAATAAACATTGTAGAACGAGAAGGTTTGCGTTTGTTTTGTACTTTTATCTCATCACTGTGTGGAAGACTTAAATTTATTTTAGGTTGGCACAGCAAGTTATTATGGAAAAAAGTAATGTATGAAAATTTGTATATGAAAATTTACCATTGGTTTACAGTTTCCCATTCATTTGACAATTGATAAATGGAATGAAATATTTCATCCTCTAAACTCTATAAAAATGAAAAAAAAATAACAACTAAGTAAATTGCAAACTAAGTAAATTGCATTTTGATAAGACAAAATGATAAGACAAAATATAGATAAATATATATACCAATTGATGAAACTCTTCATTGTCACCGATTTTTACCAAAGGTAATAACCCTTCAACTGAAACCAATACCATTCCTTCTTCATTATATATAGCGGCACCTAAAGCAATTTTTCGCACAAAAAGTTCTGTTCTTCTGGCGTAAATAACTATGCCTAATAGGGTTACACATAGGACACAACAACCCAATGCTACCACTAGTAATAAAGAAAAGGTACATTAGATACATTAGATACATTAGATACAGAAATATTCACAAAAATTGAGAGAAATTAACTTACACCCAAGAAATATATTATCATTTATGAAAAATTTATCTTGGACATGTTTTCCAGTTTCATAATAATGGGTTCCCGCATATGCAGTAAAGTGCATTCCCCACACAGCAATAGCCATTATCATAGCAGTTCCTAATTTTTTATACCTTAATTAAAATATAAAATAATTTAAAACAAATATTTCATTAATAAATGAAAAATATTCATTATATATTAAATTTATTGCTACTGTATATAATAATACTCAAAGTCTTATTCAAGAACTCAATAATATATATATATATAGTTTTAAATTGAATAATATCCAGGGTATTTGTATAGAATCGGATACTGTATTTGGATAAATTGAAGTAATAAATTAATATAGTTATCTTTATACCCCGAATATTAATCAAGAATTAAGGCAGCATAGAAATCCTGGTTTTAAACGTGGGGATATCATTTTATACACTTTATACACAGTGGTATTTTATACTAGTATGTTTGATAAAAACCTTACCAGGAATTTCTCCAAGTCGATTGAAGATTAAAGAAAATATACAAAGCAATATTGGCAGCACTTATTCCTATTATGATACTCAAAATTAAATTAACCGTATCATAAGTTATGACAAATTCGGTAATCGCATATTGGCCGCAGTAATGCATAAATGCTATATCAGATATGTGAAAAATATATACGTAATAAATTGAGAAAATACGTTGACAAAGTCGAAAAAAAATAAAAACGAAAAAACCAAGATATATATATATATACCAATACTAGCACCAGCCAGCGTTCCTCCTATTAAAATTCGTGTCAAGTCAAC